ATCATAATAATAATAATTATAATTATTATTTTTTCCTTATTACTCTTATTGGGAATTTATAAATCAGAAAGTTAATACGAGGGAATCAAGTCTCGGCCACAAAAGAAGAGGTTGCTCAAACTCTTTGGACCACGAACTGCACAATGACATAATACCAACTACCCTTCTTTTGCGGAGAAGACAGAGAATCTTCACTGGACTTGCAACAGTCATTTTAACAGCGTCTTCAACGGTGTAGACATGTTGAAGGCGTTACTGTTTTGTGCATGACCAATATTCTCAAGGTTCTCCCTCTTGACCTAGTTTCCAGAGAAATTCTAAGTGAGGATGTTAAGAGTATTGTGCAGCGAGACATCACAGACCACCTCCTTGTGCAGTCACCTTGTGCAGTCACCTTGTGTAGTCACCTTGTGTAGTCACCTTGAGTAGTCACCTTGTGCAGTCACCTTGTGGAGTCACCTTGTGTAGTCACCTTGTGTAGTCACCTTGTGTAGTCACCTTGTGTGGCCACCTTGTGTAGTCACCTTGTGTAGTCACCTTGTGTAATCACCTTGTGTAGTCACCTTGTGTAGTCACCTTGTGTAGTCACTTTGTGTAGTCACCTCGTGTAGGCACCTTGTGTAGTCACCTTGTGTAGTCACCTTGTGTAGCCACCTTGTGTAGTCACCTTGTGTAGCCACCTTGTGTAATCACCTTGTGTAGTAACCTTGTGTAGTCACCTTGTGTAGCCACCTTGTGTAGCCACCTTGTATAGTAACCTTGTGTAGTCACCTTCTGTAGCCACCTTGTGTAATCACCTTGTGTAGTCACCTTGTGTAATCACCTTATGTAGCCACCTTGTGTAGCCACCTTGTGTAGTCACCTTGTGTAGTCACCGTGTGTAATCATCTTGTGTAGGCAACTTGTGTAGTCACCTTGTGTAGTTACTTTGTGTAGTCACCTTGTGTAGTCACCTTGTGTAGTCACCTTGTGAAGTCATCTTGTGCAGTCACCTTGTGTAGTCACCTTGTGTAGCCACCTTGTGCAGCCACCTTGTGTAATCACCTTGTGTAGTCACCTTGTGTAGCCACCTTGTGTAGCCACCTTGTGTAGTCAACTTGTGTAGTCACCTTGTGCAGTCACCTTGTGTAGCCACCTTGTGTAGCCACCTTGTGTAGTCACTTTGTGTAGCCATCTTGTGTAGTCACCTTGTGTAGTCACCTTGTGTAGTCACCTTGTGTAGTACCTTGTGTAGTCACCTTGTGTAGTCACCTTGTGCAGTCACCTTGTGTAGTATCACCTTGCGTAGCCATCTTGTGTAGTCACGATTGTAATAAAGTTGGTAGATTACGACAATATGTAAAGTAAAAGACACAATGCAACTAATGTGACATTCTATTGTGGCAAGTTTCGCTCTCAGGGCTTTATCAGCCATTACAAACATACATGGACACAAGGTATTAAAGGCTCAGAGTTGAGGTGAATACTAGTGAGGTACCATTCAGTACTAGCTGGTAGTAGTAGTAATATAGTAGTGGTAGTGACCTATGTGTATACTTTTGTCACTACCACTACTACTACTATACTACACACTATGTGAACACCGAAATGGTATCACTGTGTATTCACTCACTCTGGCCTTTATATACCTCTGTGTCCAGTATGTTAGTAATGGTTGATAAAGCTCTGGAGAGCGAACGTTGCCACATAAATGTACATTGTGAACCTTGTGTCCTTTTACTTTTACATTGTGTAGTCACCTTGGGTAGTCACCTTGCGTAGTCATCTTGTGCAGTAACCTTGTGTAGTAACCTTGTGTAGTAACCTTGTGTAGTAACCTTGTGTAGTAACCTTGTGTAGTAACCTTGTGTAGTAACCTTTTGTAGTCACCTTGTGCAGTCACCTTGTGTAGTAACCTTGTGTAGTAACCTTGTGTAGTAACAATGTGTATTCACCTTGTGTAGCTACCTTGTGTAGACACCTTGTGCAGCCACCTTGTGGAGTCACCTTGTGCAGTCACCTTGTAGAGTCACATTGTGGAATCACCTTGTGGAGTCACCTTGTGGAATCACCTTGAGTAGTAATCTTGTGTAGTCACCTTGTGTAGTCACCTTGTGGAGCCACTTTGTGTAATCACCTTGTGTAGTCACCTTGTGTAGTCATCTTGTGGAGCCACTTTGTGTAATCACCTTGTGTAATCACCTTGTGTAGTAACCTTGTGCAGTAGCCTTGTGTAGTAACGTTATGTGTAACCTTTAGTTGTAGTAAACCTTGGATAGTCCACCTTGTGAGTCACCTTGTGTAGTACCTTGTGTAGTAACCTTGTGTAGTACCTTGTGGAGTCACCTTGTGTAGTAACTGTAGTACGTTGTGTAGTAACCTTTGTGTATGTAACCGTTGTGTAGTCAACTTGTGTAGTCGCCTTGTGTAGTAACCTTGTGTAGTCACCTTGTGTAGTCGCCTTGTGTAGTAACCTTGTGTAGTAACGTTGTGTAGTCACCTTGTGTAGTCGCCTTGTGTAGTAACCTTGTGTAGTAACGTTGTGTAGTAACCTGTGTAGTAACCTTGTGCAGTCACTTGTGATCACCTTGGGGGTCCAGTCAATCTCTGCGTCACCTTTGTAGTCACCCTGTGTAGTAACCTTGTGTAGTCACCTTGTGTAGCTACCTTGTGTAGACACATTGTGCAGCCACCTTGTGTAGTCACCTTGTGGAGTCACCTTGAGTAGTTTCCTTGTGTAGTCACCTTGTGTAATCTCCTTGTGTAGTCACCTTGTGGAGTCACTGTGTGTAGTCACCTTGTGTAGTAACCTTGTGTAGTAACCATGTGTAGTAACCTTGTGTAGTAACCTTGTGCAGTAACCTTGTGAAGTAACCTTGTGTAGTCACCTTGTGTAGTAACCTTGTGTAGTAACCTTGTGTAGTAACCTTGTGTAGCCAAGCTTGTGTAGTCACCTTGTGTAGTAACTTTGTGTAGTAACCTTGTGTATTAACCTTGTGTAGTAACCTTGTGTAATAACCTTATGTAGTCACCTTGTGTTATCACCTTGTGTAGTAACCTTGTGTAGTAACCTTTGAATAAACCTTGTGTAGTAACCTTGTGTAGTAACCTTGTGTATTAACCTTGTGTAGTAACCTTGTGTAATAACCTTATGTAGTCACCTTGTGTGTCCCTTGTGTAGTAACCTTGTGTAGTAACCTTTGACTAAACCTTGTGTAGTAACCTTGTGTAGTAACCTTGTGTTGTCACGTTGTGTATTCACCTTGTGTAGTAACCTTGTGTATTAACATTTTGTAGTAACCTTGTGTATTCTCCTTGTGCAGTCATCTTGTGTAGTTACCTTGGGAAGTCATCTTCTGCAGTCAGCTTGTGTAGTCACCTTGTATAGTAACCTTGTGTAGTCACCTTGTGTAGCTACCTTGTGTAGACACCTTGTGCAGCCACCTTGTGGAGTCACCTTGTGCAATCACCTTGTAGAGTCACCTTGTGGAGTCGCCTTGTGTAGTCTCCTTGTGTAGTCACCTTGTGTAGTCTCCTTGTGTAGTCACCTTGTGTAGTCACCTTGTCTAGTCACCTTGTGGAGTCACCTTGTGTATTCTCCTTGTGTAGTCATCTTGTGTAGCCACCTTTTGTAGTCACCTTGTGCAATCATCTTGTGGAGTCACCTTGTGTAGTCAACTTGTGTAATCGCCTTGTGTAGTCACCTTGTGGAATCACCTTGATTAGTCATGTTGTCATGTCACCTTGTTTAGTCACCTTGTGAAGTCACTCAATCCTGTGTAGTCGCCTTGTGTTTTCTCCTTGTCAGGTCCTCTTGTGTAGTCTCGTTGTAGAGTCACCTAGTGTAGCCACCTTGCGTAGTCACCTTGTGCAATCACCTTGTGTAGTCACCTTGTGTAGTGCTCCTGTGTAGTCACCCTATGTACTCTCCTTGTGGAATCACCTTGTGTAGTCACTTTCTTTAGTCACCTTGTAAAGTTACCATGTATAGTCCTTGTGCAGTTATCTTGTGGAGTCGCCTTGTCTAATCATCTTGTCTAGTAACTTTGTCTAGTCACCTAGCATAATCTCCCTGTGTAGTCTCCCTGTGTAGTCTCCTTGTGTAGTCACCCCTTCTTGTGTAATCCTCTAGTGTAGTCACCTTGTGTAGTTTCCTTGTAAATTCGTCTTATGTACTCACTCACCCTGTGGAGTCACCTAGTGGAGTCACCTTATGTAGTCATCTTGTATAGTCACTTTGTGGAGTTATTTTCTGTAGTCATCTAGTTGAGTCACCTTGTATAGTCACCTTGTGTAGTTACCCTATCTTGTTTAGTCACCTTGTGTAGTCAAGGTGTGTAGTCACTTTGTCTAGTACCTTGATTAGTCACCTTGTGTAGTCCTCTTGTTTAGTCACCTTATGCAGTCTCTTTGTCGTATCGCCTTGTATAGTCACCTTGCGTAGTTACCTTGTATAGCCACCTTGAGCAGTTACCTTGTGTAGAGACCTTGTGATATAACCTTATGAAGTTTCCTTCTGGAGTTACCTTGTGTAGTCCTCTTGCGTAATCATCTTATGTAGTCTCCTTGTGTAGCCACTTTGTGTAGCTTCCTTGTGTAGTCACTTTGTGTAGTCTCCTTGTGTAGCCACTTTGTGTAGCTTCCTTGTGTAGTCACCTTGTGTAGTCACCCCATCCTGTGTAATCACCTTGTGTAATCAACCCATCTTGTTTAATCGTCTTGTGTAGTCACCCTATCTTGTATGGTCACCTTGTGTAGTCACACCATCTTGTGTAGTCACCTTGTGTAGACAACCGATCTTGTGTAGCCATTTTGAGTGGTCACTCCATCTTTTGTAGTCATCTTGTGTTGTCACCCCATCTTGTGTGGTCATAGTGTGTAGTCATATTGTGTAGTCACCCCATCTTGTGTAGTTACCTTGTGTAGTCACCCCATCATGTGCAGTCACCTTGTGTAGTCACCCCATCTTGTGTAGACACACTATGTATTCACCTCCATCATATGTCGTCTCCCCAACTTACCTCTGAGGGCTTTGAGGGTCCCATGGCGTTGTGAGCGTAGAGTGTAAACAAGTACTGTGTGGCTGGCGTAAGTGTCTCTATCGTCGCCTCAGTCTCGTGGCCTCCCACCGTCACCTCAACCTCTTGTTCTTGCTGCTGTTGCTGCTGTATCTGCAGCGTCTGCTGCTGCTGCGGTGGGGGCTGCTGTTGCTGCTGTTGCTGCTGTTGTTGTTGCCAGTCTGCGGGAAAACCACGGCTTTGGTGGGTGTAGCTATTAGTTGACGTAGCGATCGTTTGCTCACGTGGCTATTGTGTATAATAGTCTGATACACAAATAAACGTATAATGACCATGAATGGTATACAATACCAACAAGATGAATTATGAATATGTGAAACATCTGGGTATGTTTATTTGTAGACCTTTCGCCATACAGTGTCTTTATCAATACTAATTCAAGTACACAAGGGGAAAACTGTGGAACTAAATACAAAAGACGAGGTAATCATTCCCTGACCATTAGAGCTGGAGAAGAGCACCGTAGTCTTGAAGAATCTGGAGATCCTGATTCATCAAGTTCTACAGTCCTCCCATTATGTTCTTGAATTTGTATTGATAAAGCCAATGAATAGTGATACCTAGGTGTTGCACATGTGTCTAATTCTTCATCGAAAAGTGCAATAAACGATAATTGCTGTTTCAGATGAACCCACATGAAAACATAACAGAATGTAATAGGAGTACCGAATATTTCTGCTTCCCATTAAAGCCCTTCAATCTGACAGATGATATTAATTTGAAACTTCAGTATAGAAGAAGGCCCCACATATACAGCACCTGTTTTTTGGTTTTCCACGTTTTCTTGGCTGTCAACTGAGCCATTGTTCTGTCCTCCAGTGGAACATAATGAACAATGGCTCAGCTTGAAGCCAACAAAAATGTGAAATACCGACAAAGTGGTGTACCTGGGAGGACTTCTTGTACCGTTCTCGTCTTACCATCTACTGCATTTTCTCAATGTGGGTTCCTTTGTACCCTAGCTTACTATACTTAACTGATATCCTTTCCAGGTGTTAACTATCTCTAGATAGAGAATCTTCTATTTCTAGATTATTGCTGCATCTAGAGAATGTCTCTTCTCTCTCTCTCTCTCTCTCTCTAGATGAAAATAAAGTCACATTACCGTTGATCGAAAAAGATCAATACTTTTTCCAGACTTGATAATGGTCCAATAGGACCTAAACAACGCCTAGTTTCAATCAAAATTCGTAGGATAGTTAGGAAGACGTTTCTTAATCTGTCCCCTGGGTAGTCAAATTATTCAAAGTATTTAATATAGAAAATTCACAGTACCGTGACAGGAAAAAAATTACTAAGAACCTGGACTTGGAAGAGGATCCTTATAACGACATTTCGCTCCTTCCTGGACCATTATCAAGTGATAAAGGGTATGGTGATACCGACAAGAAGTAGAAAAAGACTTATGCACAATTCAGGACATTTATTAGAGGAAATATTTCGCCACGAGTGGTTTCTGAATAAGTCACTCGTCGCGAAACGTTTAGAACATTTATTAAAGGAAACGTTTTGCTAAGAGTGGCTTCTTCATAAGTGTCTTTTTCCACCTGGACCACTGTAAAGTGACTTGACTTGACAGTCGCGCAGAAAGGAGCGAAACGTCATTACAAGGTTCGTCTCCTAACTGACGGATTATAGTGAATTTTTTAAGTACCCTCGCGTCTAGAATTTCCTGTCACTGTTGCCGCTTTGGTAAGGTTAAGTCTCACTCAGTAACGAAGTACAAACAGCAACTAACGAGGATAAAGGTAAATACATATCCTCAATTAAATGCTGCTTTTTATTCTGCGTTACTAGTTTTCTCTCGTCTTGCGTTCTAATTCCTCTGTTATTCCTCGCTCCTATGTTTCCTTTATCTTTCGGTTATGTCCTTGTGTTTCTTGCTCTCCCATCCCTTCGTTATCTTACTCTCCTGTCCCTTAGTGATCATGCTTTCATATGTCCCTTGGTATTTTTTGTTCTTATTTCCTTTATTATATTTTGTTCCTATTTCTCTGTTATCCTTCGGTCCTTTTCCTTAACAATCATGCGTTTCTGTTCCCCTTGTTACCTTGCAATCATGTTCCCCTTTTTTCTTGCGTTCTTGTTCCCCTGTTATCTTGCTTTCCGGTTCCCCTGTTATCTTCCGTTCCTGTTCCACTGTTATTTTGCGATTCCAATCCCTTGTTATCTTAAATTTCTCTTCGTCTGTTACCTTTGCTTTGCTGTTCTCCTGTTATCATGTATTCCTATTCCTGTGTTACCTTACATTCTTATTCCCTTGTTATCTGACGTTCCGTTTCCTCCTCCCCCTCCACCTGTTATCTTGCTTTCTTACTCCTCCGTTATCTCCTCGCTTCCCCTCTCCCCACACCCATTATTTGACCTGGATTTTATTGTTTCTGTGTGTATTTTTTTCGAAATACATGATTCAATTTTAAGATAAAGTACTTTTCAAACGCCCTTGGCCATTTCGGATTTTTTTCCTTGAACGCTTCTTGCAACATATAATTGTTAACAAAAAGTTCTTACTCTCTTTAAGTATTTAAATGAACGTGTTTAGCATGTATTGTGCGGCAGTTTATCAAGATGTAAGATTATTTATGACAGATTACCAGTGTGTGAGAGGTGATACATTTCGGCTATATAAGCACGTGCTGTTTTCTTCCGTTTTCTCGATATTTTCTTGAGTTGTGTAGTGTGTTGGGAATGACTGTGTTGGTACTCTTGTCCTATCATGTTGACATCACTCCGTTATCAGCATTCATGGATCCTCTTCATTATTGAATTTGCTTCCTTCCCCTTCCTTCTCTCTCTCTCTCTCTCTCTCTCTCTCTCTCTCTCTCTCTCTCTCTCTCTCTCTCTCTCTCTCTTCTTCCGCTAGGTCGCTACCATGTCTCTCCTTTTATATTTCTTGGTGTTAAATTCGCCCAGGACTCAAGTCCGGCTAACCAGTGTCACCAAAACCATTCATAAATGCTACCTTTACTCACACTAAAACAGCACATCAAATCCAAAAGTCGCTTGTATTCACTTTGATCTAACTTCTGTCTGCCGCCCCTGCTTACACTCGCATCATCGCTGTAGTTACCTAATATTGCCCGTACCAGTACCCGTCTACCCCTTTACCCATCTGTCCTTACACACGTCTTGATGATTATCTTGCATGAACCGAAACAAGATTTCCTTTTCAGTTACTGATTAGTTGTAAATTATTTAAACCACAGTAGTGTGAATTTTGTTCTTCATCTCTATGTATAACTAAAAATTATTTCTACACCGATATCGAACAAAAGTAATTAATGAACCTTGCACATACCTCCCAGACGTGTGTACCGGAGGGTGTACTTGGTGATAGGTGAGTTGCCGTCTTGAGGCACCTCCCAAGCCAGGCGCACGTGTCGAGAACCTTTGTCCACCACATGCAGAGACCGTGGCAAATCTGGAGGCTCTGTGGTACGGGTACTGGAGATTACAACGTGTAAAGGACACGGATTGAGGTTCTGTGGTGGGGGTACTGGAGATTATAGCGTGTAGGGGCATGCATTGATGCTCTGTGGTGGGGGTACTGGAGATTATAGCGTGTAGGGAAACGGATGAAGATTGTGGTGCGATAATTAGAGATTACCAAGTAAATAGAATAGGTATGGAGGCTCTGTGGTAGGGGAATTAAAGAGTACAATTTGTAATGGTCAGGTCTGCAAGCTCTGTAGTGTATGTGATGGGGGTTGCAACATGAAGAGGGCGTGATCATATTTTCTGTAGTGGGAGAAATAGAAGTTACAACATAAATGAGGTTGTGTATTGTTTCTTTGGTTGGGGAATTAGAGGCTGCAACATAAAGGGGTTTGTGTATTGTTTCTGAGGAAGGAAAATTGGAGGTTGCAACATATAGGTAAGACGTCTGTAGATTTTGTGGCCTGGGACTTGGAGATGACAATTAAAAACAGAGTTGGTCTGGAGGAGAATTAACGCTGGGGTTCCAGAATACATTATCTTAATATTTTTGCATATCTCGATGACATAATTGAAAATGTTATAAAAATACTGGGCTATTGGGTTTTTTACTTAATTCTCAAACTGAGAATTGGAAGTTAAATTCTCGGAAAATGCTGTTTGGCTTGGTGTAAATGGTATGGTAGAATAGGACAGTTGTAGAATAGGACATTTGCTGACAGTTCACGATATTTATTAAAACATTTCACCACGAGTAGCGTTGTCAGGACTGATGAAATCACTCGTGGCGAAACGTTTCCCTTAAAAAAAAAGAAGTCCTAAATTATACACAAGTGTTCTTTTCCCCGATTTTCTGTTTTGAGTTGAGAATTACGTGAAAGAGTGGTGGTGTGGGGAGCGTGCAGCAGGTAGGTGGTGACGCTGAGGAGGAGTGTCAGGGACTGATGCTGCAGTGAAGAAGGATTAGAAGTTTTGTTGTTATTCCTCTCACACCCACGTCCACCCATGCTTAAACCCACGCCCTCCCATACGCACCTGAACCCACGCCCTTTACACTCACGCCCCAGGACCCATACTAAAACCCTCTTCCACTCACAGACTCCCCACACAGACTTCATTCTATGCCCACATCCTTGCCCATGCCCGCCCACTAATCACCTTGCACCAGGAGGGTGACGGTGGTGGAGGCGTGACCATGATCGTTGTTAGCGGTACAAACATACTGACCACCATCCTCTGGTATGACACTCGTGATCATCAACTCCAGAATACGCTCCTCCTCGCCCACGCCCGCACGCCCGCCCACGCCGCCCGCAGTGGTCTCTCGCAGTTCGTGCCTGGCGACACAGGGAACTACAAGAAACTGCTAGGGATTACAAGAAACTCCTAGGGATTACAAGAAACCTTTTCAAAAATAATTTAGAGATTTCCTGTAGGTTCACATCCTTCAATATAATAACTGAGTCAAGTGACGGAAATATTCAGGGAGGTCACGTAAATTCTCAAAGTTAAAAAAAAGATGAATTTTTAACATTGTTAATTAAAACAGGTATTTTTGGTTCAGATTAGAAACTGATAAAAAATTCTGAGCATTAGCATGGTTAAAGCCGGGATTTTTTTTAGAGTAAATTGAAAATAAGTGACTAAATATTCCAGGCATTAGAAATATATTATATGTTATATGTTATGTTTATAAGTATATCTAAAGTTATCTTGATAACTGTATATTAACATGGAAATATTAACATGGAAATATTAACATGGAAATATTAACATGGAAATATTAACATGGAAATATTAACATGGAAATATTAACATGGAAATATTAACATGGAAATATTAACATGGAAATATTAACATGGAAATATTAACATGGAAATATTAACATGGAAATATTAACATGGAAATATTAACATGGAAATATTAACATGGAAATATTAACATGGAAATATTAACATGGAAATATTAACATGGAAATATTAACATGGAAATATTAACATGGAAATATTAACATGGAAATATTAACATGGAAATATTAACATGGAAATATTAACATGGAAATATTAACATGGAAATATTAACATGGAAATATTAACATGGAAATATTAACATGGAAATATTAACATGGAAATATTAACATGGAAATATTAACATGGAAATATTAACATGGAAATATTAACATGGAAATATTAACATGGAAATATTAACATGGAAATATTAACATGGAAATATTAACATGGAAATATTAACATGGAAATATTAACATGGAAATATTAACATGGAAATATTAACATGGAAATATTAACATGGAAATATTAACATGGAAATATTAACATGGAAATATTAACATGGAAATATTAACATGGAAATATTAACATGGAAATATTAACATGGAAATATTAACATGGAAATATTAACATGGAAATATTAACATGGAAATATTAACATGGAAATATTAACATGGAAATATTAACATGGAAATATTAACATGGAAATATTAACATGGAAATATGCGATAGAGTACTGTTGAGATGGATTGGGACTCAGTATCATTATGTGGTCTTGATATTCTGTCTCAGGTTATTATGGAAGACGTGTGTTTGAGTGTGTGTGTGTGTGTGTGTGTGTGTGTGTGTGTGTGTGTGTGTGTGTGTGTGTGTGTGTGTGTGTGTGTGTGTGTGTGTGTGTGTGTGTGTGTGTGTGTGTGTGTGTGTGTGTGTGTGTGTGTGTGTGTGTGTGTGTGTACTCACCTAGTTGTACTCACCTAGCTGAGGTTGCGGGGGTCGAGTCCGAGCTCCTGGCCCCGCCTCTTCACTGATCGCTACTAGGTCACTCTCCCTGAGCCGTGAGCTTTATCATACCTCTGCTTAAAGCTATGTATGGATCCTGCCTCCACTACATCGCTTCCCAAACTATTCCACTTACTGACTACTCTGTGGCTGAAGAAATACTTCCTAACATCCCTGTGATTCATCTGTGTCTTCAGCTTCCAACTGTGCCCCCTTGTTACTGTGTCCAATCTCTGGAACATCCTGTCTTTGTCCACCTTGTCAATTCCTCTCAGTATTTTGTATGTTGTTATCATGTCCCCCCTATCTCTCCTGTCCTCCAGTGTCGTCAGGTTGATTTCCCTTAACCTCTCCTCGTAGGACATACCTCTTAGCTCTGGGACTAGTCTTGTTGCAAACCTTTGCACTTTCTCTAGTTTCTTCACGTGCTTGGCTAGGTGTGGGTTCCAAACTGGTGCCGCATACTCCAATATGGGCCTAACATACACGGTGTACAGGGTCCTGAATGATTCCTTATTAAGATGTCGGAATGCTGTTCTGAGGTTTGCTAGGCGCCCATATGCTGCAGCAGTTATTTGGTTGATGTGCGCTTCAGGAGATGTGCCTGGTGTTATACTCACCCCAAGATCTTTTTTCCTTGAGTGAGGTTTGTAGTCTCTGACCCCTAGACTGTACTCCGTCTGCGGCCTTCTTTGCCCTTCCCCAATCTTCATGACTTTGCACTTGGTGGGATTGAACTCCAGGAGCCAATTGCTGGACCAGGTCTGCAGCCTGTCCAGATCCCTTTGTAGTTCTGCCTGGTCTTCGATCGAGTGTATTCTTCTCATCAACTTCACGTCATCTGCAAACAGGGACACCTCAGAGTCTATTCCTTCCGTCATGTCGTTCACAAATACCAGAAACAGCACTGGTCCTAGGACTGACCCCTGCGGGACCCCGCTGGTCACAGGTGCCCACTCTGACACCTCGCCACGTACCATGACTCGCTGCTGTCTTCCTGACAAGTATTCCCTGATCCATTGTAGTGCCTTCCCTGTTATCCCTGCTTGGTCCTCCAGTTTTTGCACCAATCTCTTGTGTGGAACTGTGTCAAACGCCTTCTTGCAGTCCAAGAAAATGCAATCCACCCACCCTCTCTCTCTTGTCTTACTGCTGTCACCATGTCATAGAACTCCAGTAGGTTTGTGACACAGGATTTCCCGTCCCTGAAAACCATGTTGGCTGCTGTTGATGAGATCATTCCTTTCTAGGTGTTGCACCACTCTTCTCCTGATAATCTTCTCCATGATTTTGCATACTATACATGTCAGTGACACTGGTCTGTAGTTTAATGCTTCATGTCTGTCTCCTTTTTTAAAGATTGGGACTACATTTGCTGTCTTCCATGCCTCAGGCAATCTCCCTGTTTCGATAGATATATTGAAATATTGTTGTTAGGGGTACACATAGCGCCTCTGCTCCCTCTCTCAATACCCATGGGGAGATGTTATCTGGCCCCATTGCCTTTGAGGTATCTAGCTCACTCAGAAGCCTCTTCACTTCTTCCTCGGTTGTGTGCACTGTGTCCAGCACTTGGTGGTGTGCCCCACCTCTCCGTCTTTCTGGAGTCCCTTCTGTCTCCTCTGTGAACACTTCTTTGAATCTCTTGTTGAGTTCTTCACATACTTCACGGTCATTTCTTGTTGTCTCTCCTCCTTCCTTCCTTAGCCTGATTACCTGGTCCTTGACTGTTGTTTTCCTCCTGATGTGGCTGTACAACAGTTTCGGGTCAGATTTGGCTTTCGCTGCTATGTCATTTTCATATTGTCTTTGGGCCTCCCTTCTTATCTGTGCATATTCGTTTCTGGCTCTACGACTGTTCTCCATATTCTCCTGGGTCCTTTGCCTTCTATATTTCTTCCATTCCCTAGCACACTTGGTTTTTGCCTCCCTGCACCTTTGGATAAACCATGGCTCATCCTGGCTTTTTCATTAATCCTGTTACCCTTGGGTACAAACCTCTCCTCAGCCTCCTTGCATTTTGTTGCTACATATTCCATCATCTCATTAACTGGCTTCCCTGCCAGTTCTCTGTCCCACTGAACCCCGTTCAGGTAGTTCCTCATTCCTGTGTAGTCCCCTTTCTTGTAGTTTGGCTTCATTCGTCCTGGCCTTCCTGCTTCTCCCTCCACTTGTAGCTCTACTGTGTATTCGAAGCTTAAAACCACATGGTCACTGGCCCCAAGGGGTCTTTCATATGTGATGTCCTCGATATCTGCACTACTGAAGGTGAATACTAAGTCCAGCCTTGCTGGTTGTGTGTGTGTGTGTGTGTGTGTGTATGTATGTATGTGTGTGTGTGTGTATGTGTGTGTGTGTGTGTGTATGTGTGTGTGTGTGTGTATGTGTGTGTGTGTGTGTGTGTGTGTGTGTGTGTGTGTGTGTGTGTGTGTGTGTGTGTGTGTGTGTGTGTGTGTGTGTACTCACCTAGTTGTACTCACCTAGTTGAGGTTGCGGGGGTCGAGTCCGAGCTCCTGGCCCCGCCTCTTCACTGATCGCTACTAGGTCACTCTCCCTGAGCCGTGAGCTTTATCATACCTCTGCTTAAAGCTATGTATGGATCCTGCCTCCAGTACATCGCTTCCCAAACTATTCCACTTACTGACTACTCTGTGGCTGAAGAAATACTTCCTAACATCCTGTGATTCATCTGTGTCTTCAGCTTCCAACTGTGTCCCCTTGTTACTGTGTCCAATCTCTGGAACATCCTGTCTTTGTCCACCTTGTCAATTCCTCTCAGTATTTTGTATGTCGTTATCATGTCCCCCCTATCTCTCCTGTCCTCCAGTGTCGTCAGGTTGATTTCCTTAACCTCTCCTCGTAGGACATACCTCTTAGCTCTGGGACTAGTCTTGTTGCAAACCTTTGCACTTTTTCTAGTTTCTTTACGTGCTTGGCTAGGTGTGGGTTCCAAACTGGTGCCGCATACTCCAATATGGGCCTAACGTATACGGTGTACAGGGTCCTGAACGATTCCTTATTAAGATGTCGGAATGCTGTTCTGAGGTTTGCTAGGCGCCCATATGCTGCAGCAGTTATTTGGTTGATGTGCGCTTCAGGAGATGTGCCTGGTGTTATACTCACCCAAGATCTTTTTCCTTGAGTGAGGTTTGTAGTCTCTTACCCCCTAGACTGTACTCCGTCTGCGGCCTTCTTTGCCCTTCCCCAATCTTCATGACTTTGCACTTGGTGGGATTGAACTCCAGGAGCCAATTGCTGGACCAGGTCTGCAGCCTGTCCAGATCCCTTTGTAGTTCTGCCTGGTCTTCGATCGAGTGTATTCTTCTCATCAACTTCACGTCATCTGCAAACAGGGACACCTCAGAGTCTATTCCTTCCGTCATGTCGTTCACAAATACCAGAAACAGCACTGGTCCTAGGACTGACCCCTGCGGGACCCCGCTGGTCACAGGTGCCCACTCTGACACCTCGCCACGTACCATGACTCGCTGCCGTCTTCCTGACAAGTATTCCCTGATCCATTGTAGTGCCTTCCCTGTTATCCCTGCTTGGTCCTCCAGTTTTTGCACCAATCTCTTGTGTGGAACTGTGTCAAACGCCTTCTTGCAGTCCAAGAAAATGCAATCCACCCACCCCTCTCTCTCTTGTCTTACTGCTGTCACCATGTCATAGAACTCCAGTAGGTTTGTGACACAGGATTTCCCGTCCCTGAAACCATGCTGGCTGCTGTTGATGAGATCATTCCTTTCTAGGTGTTCCACCACTCTTCTCCTGATAATCTTCTCCATGATTTTGCATACTATACATGTCAGTGACACTGGTCTGTGGTTTAATGCTTCATGTCTGTCGTGTGTGTGTATGTGTGTGTGTGTGTATGTGTGTGTGTGTGTGTGTGTGTGTGTGTATGTGTGTGTGTGTGTGTGTGTGTGTGTGTGTGTATGTGTGTGTGTGTGTATGTGTGTGTGTGTGTGTGTATGTGTGTGTGCGTGTGTGTGTATGTGTGTGTGTGTGTGTTTGTTTGTGTGTGTGTTTGTCTGCATGTTTACTTGGTTTTACATGATAGTCTTTAATATTTAAATATAAAATACTTTTATTATTCTTCAGAAAAAATGTGTTTAATGGGGGTTAGGAGTGCTGGAAAAGGAGAGAGAGAGAGAGAGAGAGAGAGAGAGAGAGAGAGAGAGAGAGAGAGAGAGAGAGAGAGAGAGAGAGAGAGAGAGAGAGAGAGAGAGAGAGAGAGAGAGAGAGAGAGAGAGAGAGAGAGAGAGAGAGAAAGACTGACTCTTTACCTGTAAGACTCTGAGGGAGTGATGACTCTACCATCCTTGTGCCAGGAGACCTTCATGGGCTGGTCCCCTGTGACTGGGCATCGCAGCACAGCGTGACCCCCTGTACCCACACTCACGTTGGTACCCCTCAGGTTGAACCTAGGAGGAGCTGCAATGATGGAGGGAGAGTGAGTTTATTGAACAAGCTTCGATACAAGCTTGTGGCTACCTTATGCTATATATAAGTTAATTAGTTTGTGAGAAAAAAGTTATCGATGTTTTCCTCTCACAATCTCACACTGAATTATGCCTAGTTGATAAAGCTGATAAATTAGCCAAAGGCAGAAGATGAGTGAATCTTTAGTTTATCTTTGTCATGCATTAGAAATGATTCTAGGAGACAAGTAAGTAACGAATCTCAGTATCACAGGAAAATAGTTAGAAGCCTGAGTTGATCTATAATTCTTTATTATATGAACGCAGAAGAGCACATTTACGGAGCAAGTTGTAATGTAAACAGATTGACTGATGTTTGTAGTAGCCAGGCATAGGCTTTATTACATGCATTTTCGATAGTTTGACAGATATGCAGATAATGATTAAACTAAATGTAAAGTCAGTGGGCAGCCTTACGTTTAGTCTCCTGAACAGTATGTGCTTGATTGTCAACTTACTGAGGAATATAGAGATAGACAGTACAATAACTTGAGTGATATGTCATGGTATCTGATGTAAGGAGATATCGGACATTTTAAGCAATTAAAACACACACACACACACACACAAACACAACATACACACATATAAACACAAACACATCAATACAAACACATCAACACAAACACACACACACACACACACACACACACACACACACACACACACACACACACACACACACACACACACACACACACACACTATAGACCAGTGCAACTGACGTGTATTATTATGCAAAGTCATGGAGAACATTATCAGGAGGAGAGTGGTGGAGCATCTGGAAGGAAACAAGAGTATAAACAACAAGAAGCATGGATTCATGGAAGGCAAATCCCATGTCACAAGCCATCTGGAGTTTTATTATAAAGTAACAGAAGTAAGACACGAGAGAGAGGGGTGGGTTGATTGCATTTTCTTGGACTGCAAGAAGGCCTTCGACATAGTTCCTCAGCAAGAGGATCAGGTGCATGTAACAGGAAGGGCATTGCAATGGATCAGAGAACACCTGACAGGGAGGAAACAACGAGTCATGGTACGTGATGAGGTATCACAGTGGGCACCTGTGACGAGAGGGGTGCCACAGGGGTCGGTCCTAGGGCCAGTGATATTTTTGGTATATGTGTCCCTGTTCGCAGACGATGTGAAGTTAATGAGGAGAATTAATTCAGATGAGGATCAGACAGGACTTCAAAGAGACCTGGACAGGCTGGACACCTGGTCCAACAATTGGCTTCTGGAATTTAATCCCGCCAAATGCAAAGATCATGAAGATCGGGGAAAGGCAAAGAAGACCGCATACAGAGTATAGGCTAGGTGGCCAAAGACTGCAAACCTCTCTCAAGGAGAAAGATCTTGGGATGAGTATAACACCGAGCACGTCTCCAGAAGAACACATCAACCAAATAACTGCTGCAGCATATGGGCGCCTGGCAAACCTGAGAATAGCATTCTGATACCTTAGTAAGGAATCGTTTAAGACACTGTACACCGTGTACGTCAGGCCCATACTGGAGTATGCAGCAACAGTTTGGTACCCACACCAGGTCAAGCACGTCAAGAAATTAGAGAAAGTGCAAAGGTTTGTGACAAGGTTAGCTCCAGAACTAAGGGGAATGTCCTATGAAGAAAGGTTAAGGGAAATCGGCCAGACAACACTTGAAGACAGGAGGGTTAGAGGAGACATGATAACGACATACAAAATACTGCGTGGAATAGACAAGGTGGACAGATACCGGATGTTCCAGAGAAGGGACACAGAAACAAAGGGTCACACTTGGAAGTTGAAGACTCAGATGAATCAATGGGATGTTAGGAAGTATTTCTTCAGTCATAGAGTAGTCAGGAAGTGGAATGATCTGGCAAGTGATGTAGTGGAGGGAGGGACCATACATAGTTTTAAGACGAGGTATGATAAAGCTCATTGAGCAGGGAGAGAGAGGACCTAGTAGCGACCAATGAAGATGTGGAGACAGGAGCTGAGTCTCGACCCCTGCAACCACAATTAGGCGAGTACACACACACACACACACACACACACACACACACACACACACACACACACACACACACCTCGGGGCCAGGAGCTCGGACTCGACCCCCGCAACCTCAACTAGGTGAGTACACACACACACCTGTGACGAGCGGGGTCCCACAGGGGTCGGTCCTAGGACCAGTGCTATTTTTGGTATATGTGAACGACATGACGGAAGGGTTAGACTCAGAAGTGTCCCTGTTTGCAGATGATGTGAAGTTAATGAGGAGAATTAAATCTGATGAGGACCAGGCAGGACTTCAAAGAGACCTGGACAGACTGGACACCTGGTCCAGCAAATGGCTTCTCGAATTTAATCCTGCCAAATGCAAAGTCATGAAGATAGGGGAAGGGCACAGAAGACCACAGACAGAGTATAGGCTAGGTGGCCAAAGACTGCAAACCTCACTCAAGGAGAAAGATCTTGGGGTGAGTATAACACCGAGCATGTCTCCGGAAGCACACATCAATCAGATAACTGCTGCAGCATATGGGCGCCTGGCAAACCTGAGAACAGCATTCCGATACCTTAGTAAGGAATCATTCAAGACGCTGTACACCGTGTATGTCAGGCCCATACTGGAGTATGCAGCACCTGTTTGGAACCCGCACTTGATAAAGCACGTCAAGAAACTAGAGAAAGTACAAAGGTTTGCGACAAGGTTAGTTCCAGAGCTAAGGGGAATGTCCTATGAAGAAAGATTAAGGGAAATCGGCCTGACGACACTGGAGGACAGGAGGGTCAGGGGAGACATGATAACGACATATAAAATACTGCGTGGAATAGACAAGGTGGACAAAGACAGGATGTTCCAGGGAGGGGACACAGAAACAAGAGGCCACAATTGGAAGTTGAAGACACAAATGAGTCAGAGAGATAGTAGGAAGTATTTCTTCAGTCATAGAGTTGTAAGGCAGTGGAATAGCCTAGAAAATGACGTAGTGGAGGCAGGAACCATACACAGTTTTAAGACGAGGTTTGATAAAGCTCATGGAGCGGGGAGAGAGAGGGCCTAGTAGCAACCGGTGAAGAGGCGGGGCCAGGAGCTAGGACTCGACTCCTGCAACCACAAATAGGTGAGTACAAATAGGTGAGTACACACACATACATACATCACACACACACACACGCACGCATGCACACACACACACACACACACACACACACACACACACACACACACACAACAAACAACAAACACCTCCCTCGACAGCACTCTTGGCATAAGTTCTTCCTTCTGTGAAAAAGGAACATGGGACACCAAAAACCTGGACGGAGAACCAGAGGAATGGCAATCCCAAAGCAATCAAACGACCTAACCCAAAACCCACTCACTGTACCCTCTGCCCCCATCTCCTTCAGCACAAACCCCACCCCCACAGAAACCCACAGTAACCCACACATCCCCCTCTGCATAAACCCCACCCCCACAGTAACCCTCAGTAACCCACACATCCCCCTCTGCTCAAACCCCACCCCACAGAAACACACAGTAACCCACACAATGTACCCTCTCCTCCCATCCCCCTCACCAAAAACCCCACCCTCACAGTTACCCACAGCAAACCCACACACTGTACCCTCTAACTCCATCCCCCTCACCACAACCCCCTCCCCCATTGTAACTCCAAATAGGCCCTCTTCCCCCATCCCCCCACCCCCTTACCACCACCCCCACCCCCACCCCACTGAAACCCCCATAGGCCCTCTGCCCCCACACCCCACACCACAGACCCCATCCCCACACCAACCCCCTATAGGCCCCTGCCGGGGCACCTGCTCCCCATAACCCACCTCTCTCCCCAGACCACAGTTACTGAAAAGAAGTTGAAGGTTTGGTACACGAACGCGTATGGAATAACGAATAAATGTGAGGAGTGGCATGAAAGAATTAAGGAGATGTCCCCAGACTTCGTAGCGGTTACAGAAACAAAACTCACTGGGTTAATAACAGATGCAATCTTCCCACCCGGATATCAGATCCTGAGGAAGGATAGAAGGAGCAGGGGGGGAGGAGGGGTTGCACTACTAATAAAATACCAGTGGGGTTATCAAGAAATGGAAGGTATGGACGAGACTGGAGAAATGGATTACATAATAGGTACAGTTCAGTCAGGGGAACACAAGGTAATCATTGCAGTGATGTATAACCCACCACAGAACTGCAGGAGGCCAAGAGAGGAATATGATGAGTGTAACAGAGCAATGGTGGACACTCTAGCTGAGGTGGCAAGAAGGGCTCACTCGAGTAGAGCAAAGTTACTGGTCATGGGCAACTTCAATCACAGGGAGATTGATTGGGAAAACCTGGAGTCACATGGGGGTCCCAAAACATGGAGAGCCAAGATGATGGATGTGGTGCTGGCAAATCTCATGCACCAACATGTTAGGGTTACTACCAGAGAGAGAGGGGAGGATGAACCAGCAAGACTGGACCTTCTGTTCACCCTGAGTAGCTCAGACATTGAGCACATGACATATGAAAGGCCCATTGCAGATAGTGACCACGTAGTTATGAGCTTTGAATACATCGTGGAGCTAAAAGTGGAGAGGGTAACAGAAGTAGAAAGGGAAAAGCTAAACTATAAAAGGGGGACTACACAGGAATGAGGATCTTCCTGCATGAGGTTCAGTGGGAACAGGAGTTGGTAGGAAAATCAGTAAATGAAATGATGGACTTTGTAACAACAAAATGCAAGGAGGCAGAGGAAAGGTTTGTTCCCAAGGGTAACAGAAATAATGGGAAGGACAGAACAAGCCCTTGGTTTACCCAAAGGTGCAGGGAGGCAAAAACGAAGTGCTCTAGTGAATGGAAAAAGTACAGAAGGCAAAGGACTCAGTAGAATAAAGAGATTAGTCAACGAGCCAGAAACGAGTATGCACAGATAAGAAGGGAGGCGCAGCGGCAGTATGAAAATGACATAGCATCGAAAGTCAGGTCTGACCCGAAACTACACTACAGCCACATCAGGAGGAAGACAACAGTCAAAGACCAGGTAATCAGGCTGAGGAAAGAAGGTGGAGAGCTCACAAGAAACGACTAGGAGGTATGTGAGGAGCTCAACATGAGATTTCAGGAAGTATTTACAGTAGAGGCTGATGGGACAATGGGAAGACAAAACAGTGGGGTACAGCAACAAGGGATATACTAACAAGTGTTTGATGAATTACACACAACTGAGGAGGAGGTGTAGAAGCTCCTAAGTGACCTTAATACCTCAAAGGCGGTGGGACTGGACAACATCTCTCCATGGGCCCTTAGAGTGGGAGCAGGGACACTACGTGTGCCACTAACCAAAATCTTCAACACTTCCCTTGAAACTTGGCAACTACCTGAAGTATGGAAGAAGGCAAATGTCGTCCCCAATCTTTAAGAAGGGAGACAGAAATGAAGCACTAAATTATAGACCAGTGTCACTGACATGAATAGCATGCAAAGTCTTGGAAAAGATTATCAGGAGGAGAGTGGTGGAGCACTTGGAGCGGAACAAGATTATAAATGACAGCCAGCACGGATTCATGGAAGGCAAATCCTGTGTCACAAACCTACTACAGTTTTGTGATAAGGTAACTGAAGTAAGAAATGAGAGGGAGGGGTGGGTTGATTGCATTTTCTTGGACTGCAAGAAGGCCTTCGAGACAGTTCCTCACAAGAGATTAGTACAGAAACTAGAGGAACAGGCACGTATAACAGGAAGGGCACTGCAATGGATCAGAGAATACATAACAGGGAGGCAACAGCGAGTCATGGTCCGTGATGAGGTATCACAGTGGGCGCCAGTGACGAGCGTGGTCTCACAAGGGTCAGTCCTGGGATCAGTGCTATTCTTAGTATATGTGAACGACATGACGGAAGGGATAGACTCAGAAGTGTCCCTGTTTGCAGATGACGTGAAATTAATGAGGAGAATTAAATCAGACCCGGACCACACAGGTCTACAAAGAGAATTGGACAGGCTGGATGTGTGGTCCAGAAACTGGCTCCTAGAATTTAACCCCGCCGAATGCAAAGTCATGAAGATCGGAGGAGTGCAAAGAATATACCGCAGACAGAGTATAGGCTAGGAGGCCAAAGGCTGCAAACCTCACTCAAGGAGAAAGACCTAGGAGTGAGTATAATACCGATTACATCGCCAGAAGCACACATTAACCAGATAACTGCTGCCGCATATGGGCGCTTGGCAAACCTGAGAAAGCGTTCCGGTACCTCAGTAAGGAATCGTTCAAGACTTTATACACTGTGTACGTCAGGCCCATACAGGAGTACGCGGCACCAGTTTGGAACCCACACCTGGTCAAACACGTCAAGAAATTAGAGAAAGTGCAAAGGCTTGCAACAAGGCTAGTTCCAGAGCTAAGGGGAATGTCCTATGAAGAAAGGTTAATGGAAATCGGTCTGACAACACTGGAGGACAGGAGGGTCAGAGGAGACATGATAACGACATACAAAATACTGCGTGGAATAGACAAGGTGGACAGAGACAGGATGTTCCAGAGATGGGACACAGAAACAAGGGGTCACAATTGGAAGCTGAAGACTCAGATGAGTCAAAGGGATGTTAGGAAGTATTTCTTCAGTCATAGAGTAGTTAGGAAGTGGAATAGTCTGGCAAGCGATGTAGTGGAGGCAGGAACTATACATAGTTTTAAGACGAGGTATGATAAAGCTCATGGAGCAGGGGGAGAGAGGACCTAGTAGCGGTCGGTGAAGAGGCGGGGCCAGGAGCTGAGTCTCGACCCCTGCAACCACAATTAGGTGAGTACAATTAAGTGAGTACACACACACACACACACACACACACACACACACACACACATACACACACACACACACACACACACACACACACACACACACATACACACATACACACACACACAGACACACTAACACACACACACACTAACACACACACACACACACACACACACACACACACACACACACACACACACACACACACACACACACACACACACACATACACACACACACATACACACACACACACACACACACACACACACACACACACACACACAACACACACACACACACACACACACACACACACACACACACCCCACAGAACTGGCAGGGAAGCCAGTTAATGAGATGATGGAATATGTAGCAACAAAATGCAAGGAGGCTGAGGAGAGGTTTGTACCCAAGGGTAACAGGAATAATGAAAAAGCCAGGATGAGCCCATGGTTTACCCAAAGGTGCAGGGAGGCAAAAACCAAGTGTGCTAGGGAATGGAAGAAATATAGAAGGCAAAGGACCCAGGAGAATATGGAGAGCAGTCGTAGAGCCAGAAACGAATATGCACAGATAAGAAGGGAGGCCCAGAGACAATATGAAAACGACATAGCAGCGAGAGCCAAATCTGACCCGAAACTGTTGTACAGCCACATCAGGAGGAAAACAACAGTCAAGGACCAGGTAATCAGGCTAAGGAAGGAAGGAGGAGAGACAACATGAAATGACCGTGAAGTATGTGAGGAACTCAACAAGAGATTCAAAGAAGTGTTCACAGAGGAGACAGAAGGAGCTCCAGAAAGACGGAGAGGTGGGGCACACCACCATGTGCTGGACACAGTGCACACAACCGAGGAAGAAGTTAAGAGGCTTCTGAGTGAGCTAGATACCTCAAAGGCAATGGGGCCAGATAACATCTCCCCGTGGGTATTGAGAGAGGGAGCAGAGGCGCTATGTGTACCCCTAACAACAATATTCAATACATCTATCGAAACAGGGAGATTGCCTGAGGCATGGAAGACAGCAAATGTAGTCCCAATCTTTAAAAAAGGAGACAGACATGAAGCATTAAACTACAGAACCAGTGTCACTGACATGTATAGTATGCAAAATCATGGAGAAGATTATCAGGAGAAGAGTGGTGGAACACCTAGAAAGGAACGATCTCATCAACAGCAGCCAACATGGTTTCAGGGACGGGAAATCCTGTGTCACAAACCTACTGGAGTTCTATGACAGGTGACAGCAGTAAGACAAGAGAGAGAGGGGGTGGGTGGATTGCATTTTCTTGGACTGCAAGAAGGCGTTTGACACAGTTCCACACAAGAGATTGGTGCAAAAACTGGAGGACCAAGCAGGATAACAGGGAAGGCACTACAATGGATCAGGGAATACT